ACTTCGCTATTGACAACTGTAATCCTAGTAGCCTGATTAGCAACATCCGGCACCGGAGTCCCGTCATGGCCACCACCCTCCTCCACTCGTTTCTTCTCTGTAGTATCGAAATTCATAGCAGGTGGCTTTGTACCGGATGTAGGGAAAGCTCTAAACTTGCGATTCCCCACCTCTGCTCGTAACCAACTACCATATTGCTTTGTCCCCATGTTCAGATCCAGTGATTTCGGACATCCAGCTTGTTCATGAATGATTCGTCCACATTTTATGCAAAACCATGGGAGCTTCTCATATTGGATTGGTACCCATGTCTTTACTCCTTCTAGCATCACCATCCGTCCCCTCGCCAAAGGTTTTCGCAGATTCAATGCAATTTTCACACGCAGCGAACTACCCCATCCAACATCGTCCTCATCGACTTCTATATCCTCCACATTGCCCATCGAACTACCTAGTTTGATGCCAGTCTCCCTTGACATGCCCACAAACGGTAAGTTGTGGAATTACACCCACAACGCCGCCACATCAAATTGCATTTCACTCAGTGGTGTGTAGCCCTCAAATGCATTCATCACAAATATCGATCCATCAAACAACCATGGTCTTCCCTCTTCCACCCGTTTCAAGTCCGCGTGATTGGCGAACGTAATCATGAATATATTTCGACCCATCTCAGTAAACTCTGCTGGCTTGCTAATTCTCCAGATTTTCCCCATGGTAGATTGAACCACCGCTTTATTTATCTGCCGTTCAGCCCAAATCTTTCCTATTAGACTCCGATCGCCCTTCTCCATCACAGTCGCGACTCCTTTTCCGTCTATGCCAACTATCTCTTCCTCCTCTGCGTTCAATCGCAAGTTTTCCCACATTTCCTGCACTTTTTCCATGGTAGCACTCACCTAGATGCTCGACGAGAAAATCCCTAAAAAAAAAGAACCACCTCTGCTTCCAAGAGAGAGAAAGAAGAGTGGAGACTAGTGTGAGAATTCTTGAGATCCTTTGCTGCTCACCCGGTTGCTCGAAGAAGAAATCCCCAAAAAAAGAAAAGAAAGAAACTTCGCACCACCTCTGCTTCTAAGAGAGAAAAAGTAGAGAGGAGACTTAGTAAGTGCTAGTAATTGTGGGTTACATAAGTAGTCAAAATTAATATTTGACTTTGACCTTTAAATTTAAACCAAACAAGAACTTTGTCTTCATCGAAGTGAGGGCTTGTCACTATTAGAAGAAAAGTCCAAACATGCGCACACACGGGCAAGCACATACAAAGATACAAGACATTTTAAAACTAGGTGATATCCACGTCCGGTTAAAATAATTCAATAAAGACCATATCCAAAATAAAACCCGGAAAAAATGTATTCGAATCAGCCACTTATGGTTACAAAACACTCTTGATCCATCATCCATATATTAGTAACATTTGAGTAACTACACGTACATTGTTTTTTACATTAATTTTGACATCCTTCCACGTGGCACCCATCATAGCCTTTGATTTTTCCAATTCCCTTTCATATCATTATTCAGATTTTGACACAGAGGGAATGTCATCCTTGAAGTAAACAAAAATTTACATCTAGAATAATTTCTAAGTATTTAGGTTTGCTCAAGATGACCATTCAGATCCTCTATTTATATATATAACTCAAATAAATTATAAAGTAAATTAATCACAAAAACCAAAAATTAAGCAAAATGATAAGCAAATATGAATATTTCTAAGCAATAAACATCAAATATCATCGAGATTTAAGTAACCATATTGCAGAACAAATCCTAATAATTACTTAATATAAAGCCAAATGCAATATTTATCAAAGGTGGTCATCTTGGAAAGTACCGAATGAAGAACACTTGTTGACATCTTCAAGGGTGACTACGGCTGCAAGAATGAAGACAAAAGGCAACAAGAATGCAAGTATCAAAATGATGTAGAAGAGCATGCGGTAGGAGGTGCGGCGAGGTGCTACCTTGATCTTCATCAAATCGCCTCCTCCTCCATTGACATTTCCATCTCTACTACTCGACGATATCGTTATACTTCTCATGCTAGGTGAGAAGTGCAGCTGCATCTTCCTCCTCCTCCTCCACCGCCCTTTTCCTCCACCATTTCCCTCTTTCCCTCCTCAAATCAATGCAATCACCATTCTCACCGCTGCGGCTGCTATCTACAATCCCAATACTAATAATATTTTTCTTCTTTTGGTTCGAATAATTGTTCAAAAATGATGAGATTCTCACCATCAGATCTGTCGCTACAGAATTTCAACAATCCTAATTCATTTTTTTATCAATGTTTCAATCTAATCCTATATATACGTATCTATTACCAAAACAAATGCAAAGAGTAAATCAATCAATCAATCAACGTAAATGAAAACCTATGAATCAAAAAATTATCATACTAGAAAATAATTATAAGTGTTGACCTCGAAAAATGGCTTCGACACGTGGCCAACAAAAAATGTCTTCAAGTCAGCTCTTCTGCACACGTGGCACGCCGTTACTCACTCGTGGCCTTTCCCGGAGGGGTTGGGAGCGGTCGCGAGCACTCCGATGGTCAAGTCAGTTTGAAATTCAACTGGAAAAGGGTTCACCGACGGTGAAGCACTCGCCGGAAAGTGGTTGACAAAGCGTATATCGAAAGATGTTAATAGTCAAGGGAAGAGAATACTTAATTTCATAATGTAGTGGTAGTTTTGAGTGTGTTGGATTCCAATCCTTCTTTAGGCACAAGAAGGGGGTATTTATACTAAGGATGGGAAGAGGAGAGCCGTTGGATGAGGAGACACGTGTTGCTAGATCCTCAGGGCTCGTCCCATCCTAGGTGTCAATCCGTTCCTCAGTAGGTTGGCTAGCATTGAATGTTTTCTGACAGAGGCAGCTGATTTGACTATTTAGGTCCTGCCACATGTCCCATCAGTCAGTGATTTGACTGGAAAGATCTGTGCAAAAGATCTTTGACGAAGGGAGGCGAGGCGTTGCAGCGTTGTAGAAGCGGAGTTCAAGCATTTGCATCCACGGTATTCTTGCGGATGAGTTCAATTCGTTTGTTGACGCCTATTTAGTTCGCATTGGTGTGATCACTTCGGTATATACAGTCAGCTCGTCCCATGGGGCAGTCTCCTCGTTCGGCACGTAGCTTGGTGTGGGTCATCCCTGATGACACGTGGAGGACGAGGTGGCGGGTTTAACACAGACCAGTAACAATAGCCCGCAAGTCCATGTATGGATATTTATATAGCATAAGGACTTTCAATTCCACAGGTTCAGTTGGGGATTCTCTAGGGAGTTGGCGTGGCATCGTAGCCTGCTCTGGTCGAAGTGATATGGGTGGCAGCTCTATGGTGAGCTGTTGTGGCTGAAGCGATAGGAGTTGGCAACTCTAGGGAGAGTTGTTGCAACGTCGGATTCTGCTATAGCCGAAGTGATATGGGTTGGAAGCTCTATGGAGAGCTATTGTGGCCGAAGCAATAGGCGAGCGGAGTGATGGGCTCTGGAGGGCCAGTCTTGGATTTTGTGTCAATGATTTGAAGGCTTTTGCATCTTCCCAAGGTAATCATGGGGGGAGGGGGGGAGGGGTACTTGCTTGCTTCCAAG